GCTACCAGAGCTCATAGGTAGGTAGTACTTCATTTTTGTGATAGTGACAATTTAGTATCATCACATCTTCCCATATACAAATGTTTCATGTTTCTTTAGGATATTCTAGGCAAATTTAGATTTTTAGAGTATAAAAAATTCTGAGCCAATCTGCTAAATAAAAACAATTTAATATAGTTTCAGTCTCCACTGGAAATTTGATACAAATTTCTTGATACATGAGGCTCATTAATTTTATTACTTGAGAAAAATATGAAGCCAAAAATTGGGTGAGGAACCTTAAGTTTTGTAATGCAGTCTCTATTTCTCTTCCACTACAAAACTGAATTAAATTTTCATAGTTACTGTGTTGGAGTCCTGGTGTGGCACTGTAGGTTAATGCGCTGGATTGCAAGGTCAGTTTGAAATGCAAGGTCAGTGGTTCAAGCTCACCAGCTGCTCCTCGAAAAACTTATACAGGGTCACTATGAGTCGGAACCAGCTCAACGGCACTTAACAACAGTTACTGTGTTAGGCACATAAGTCTTCTGCAAATAGCAGGCGCACTTTACTGCTTCCATTTCTATAATCCATTACACATTTCAAGTTAGTTTTTTTAAATACCTGTGAAGAGGAACAACTATAATCAGTTGCTCAACCAGTTTTGTTGCTTAAAAAGGATCCTGGAACAGGTACAATTGTCTCAATTCTTACTCCAATTTCTTCCTTTATGTGAAAACTATTTTTGCAATATGGAGTACTGGTATTCAACATCAAAATGCATTTCACATTAGTTTTCATTTTAGAAGCCAGCATTCTTTATAATTCTATTTCTTCGTTAATAACATTTAAATATTAGAATCCCTTCTGCTATTTAACAAAACCTTGACTTATCCATGTGTATTATTCATCTAGACTTAGCCATTATTATTTTTTTTCTAAGAAGAGCAAAGGTCATCAAATCCTAGTTATAAATAATTCTTGGGAAGAATTAGCAAAAATTCATCAGTATCTTAAAGCGATTCTAGAAAGGAAAAGGACTCAGCACTTATCTTAATGTTTACACATTTCAATAACTTCCATAATCCTTGCCTCATACCCCAGAGTTTATCATTGATTCTGTTGTTAAGTGCCATCGAGTCAATTCTGACTCATAGCGACCTTGAGAGCGGCTGGTGAGTTTAAACTGCCAAATGACCTCACAATCCAGTTCTTATTCTACCGCATCAAACCCAAATATCTTCACCCAACTGTGTCATTGGTAGTGGAAGAGTACATGTTAAAATACATTTACTGAACCTAGTTCATACTTCAGACATATTGTCAGGAGGGACCAGTTGCTAGAGAAGGATATCATGTTTGGTAAGGTGGAGCATCAGAGAAAAAGAGGGAAGACCCTCAACGAGATGGATTAGCCAAGTGGCAGCATCGATGGACTCAAGGGTGGCAACAGTAGTGAGGTTGGCCCAGGATCAGGCAGTGTTTCGTTCTGCTGTGCATAAGGTCACTATGAGTCGGTACCTACTCGATGGCACCTAACAACAACAGTTCATATTGATATGCAAGAAAAACAACACCTTTTTATATTGATTTAAGACAAATAAGAGCAAGGACCTCAGTATCAAAAGAATGTTTTCTGAAATTCCTAATCCTTTCCTAAACTACATCCAATGCATCAGGGACTCCATCCTTTGACAGTTTTCAAACAGTAAAGAATTTTGGTTAATGATGAAATGATGATATCCATAAGCCAAATGTGAGGTGTTTTAATGAGCTATTTTCCACATAAATTCACAAATGATCTAGATTGATTTGGTTATTCTAAATGGACACACTAATCTGCAACGTGCCACAATTTTCTCTCACATATGACTGAGAGATAAAATGAAACAAATAGAACAACTATTGCCATACAGAACCATTCTTTCTTGCATTGTGCTCAAGGAGTTAATTTTCACATAAGACGTTCTGTGGAGTCGGTTCTGACTCAGCAACCCTGCATAGGGTCTCCGAGGAGCGGTTGGTAGGTTTGAACCACTGACCTTGAGGTTAGCAGTCCAGTACTTACATTACAAAGTTACATTGAAGCAACATGTACAAAAAAATATAAAAAAACCAATTAACATATTTTATTATAAAAGTGTGCTTTATTATAAGGAAAATGTAAATATAACCAACAATACTGAAAATAATGTAACTGGCATTTACAGCCTTGGTCAGCATTTCTTTTATTAAACAGGCATTTGTTTGCTGCTCTTTGAATATTTAACAATCAGCTTATGCAACAAAATAAGTTACTTGAGATGGTGAATAAAGAATACACAATCATGAATCAAAATGTAGGTTTTTGTTTTTTTTTTAGCAGACTTGGTTTTTAAAATAAAATGTTAAGTAAAACAGACGACAAATTATATTCATGTAGAGAGCTATCTGTTCCAAAAAGGTTTAGTAAAAATGTTCTGAAAATGTGGCAGATGTTGTACCTTTATAGACTTTATATAACTTTTTACAAATACATTATCCAATTAGTATTTTCTAACCATGTTTTTTCATATACAAGTGGGACTATAAACATTCTCTAAATAAGACCAAGCTAGTCACAGAGTAAGTTTACCCATGTACATATATTGTTTGGAAACATGTTTCCCAAAATGAAATATCTCACTTAAAAGTGAAAAATTCATTAAAATTAGTATCTCTGAACACTAGTGTCTTATGAGACTACAAATCATCTATGAGTATACTTCTTTGATTGAAGGTAATTCAATTAATCTTATGTAGCAGAATAACACGCACATGAATTATCACAGTAGACTGAATTCATTCTGCACTTTAACTCTGAATATACATTAAAGCAAATGGTAAAGTCTAACAGTAATATGTGGTAGGAGAAGACACTTGTTTTACCATAGAATATATGGCTTTGCTTATATTTATTTTTACCATCTTGGAGGAATTTTTAACCAGAAACCCATCGGGAGCAGATACCTATAAAGTACTATGTAGTTCTAGTGAAAAATGAAAAAATACCCAGTTACTATGTTGATAAGGAATCAAAAATAATTTTTGGTATCGGAGGCTTTCTGCTGTTGTTTTACTATTAGCAAGATCTTAGGGTTTTACTAGCAAAACAAACTGCCAGATTTAACAAGTCTGAATAGCTTTATTTTGAAAGCTTCATTTGTGACTTAGAATGTCAAACACAAAATTTTAAAGATAAAAATACAGAAAATTATAAAATGAAAAAGGAAGCTAAGATATATGCTTGATGAGGAGAAAACGTTAATAATGATCTTGCATCTAAGAAAGATTCTTTTCCCTATATCATGACTATATTGCCTGTCATTAAAACCACTAGAATATGTAGGTTACTGACATTATGCCAAAGAAGTCAAATGTACTTTATTGCAAAAAATATAAAAGGTTTTTAAATTGCATATGATGTTCTTTTTACCATGTCACCAATAGGCCAAGGCCTGCATGTAACTTATCAAGCCAAAAAAAGTCGAAAACAAAAGTTATTAAACTCATACTTACTATACATTGTTGTTGCTGTTAAGTGCTATTGAGTCAGTTCCAACTCAACAGTGACCTTGTATAGGGTTTCTGAGGAGCGGCTGGTGGGTCTGAACTGCAGACCTTGTGGTTAGCAGTCCAATGCTTATCCTACAGCACCACACCAGAACTCCTTACTGTATAATATGATTTGCAAAAAGAATGTGATGCCATGCTATACAGCATGATTCATTACTAAGTTCCCTCTCACATGGGCATACTTGCTAACAGATCAGTCTGAATAAGTAGAAATGAACACATCTTGCATTACCTATAATATCCTTTAATTATCTTCTTAAACACTTATTCTTCCAGTATATTACAATCATTTGGATAAAACTTTTCAGTCAGAACATAACCTTATGGAGTGGAATGTCATTCTATCAGTACGTAGAATTTTTAATGATCTAAGTACTTAGAAAGTGATGTTAAAGCCTATTGACTATTAAATCACTACTCTGTTTACTGATACATTGGAAATGTAATTTAAAAAAAAAAAAAGGAAAAACTTGAAATCACAGAAAATGCTTGGCATCTACACAAACACATTCTCAGTGGACTAACCACTACTGTGTAATTTTGTCACTAGAGATCTTCTTGCGCCATACTTTTTCTTCATGCAGTGGGTTCAATAATATCCATGTTTGTTCCAAACAGGGCCACTAACTGTTCTTCGTAGGTGGTGATATTCCTTTTCATAATTTCCATGCAAGGGCCCAAAAGCCTTTCAAATGCTTGCACATCCATGGCTAAGAAAAGAGGAGCAGAAAAGTAAAATCAATGATATTTTTGCAAATATGCAGAATTTCAAAGTTGTTTATGATACCTATTTTGCATATACCAATAATGCAATCGTATTTTTAAGTAAATATTGTAAAATACAAGAAAAAAACTCCATAAAGATAAAAACATTCTATTTTACAAGGAAGCAGCCGGGCCGCCCCTCAAGCCCTTCTGAGAAAGGTTCTTGGTCCAGACCGATAAGATAACAAACAACTGTCACAGCAAAACTTGGAATTTTGAAAAATAAATTAATTTGGATGCTTCCAGTTTAGTTATTATGAACTTAAAAGCAAGGGGAATATTTCCTATCTTGTTTTCCTTTCTCTGGGTTTCCACAATGCCATGTTATAAAAAGTAAATGTTACCTTTTTATAATTTTTTTCTTTTGTGTTCTTATTGACTTCTATCAAAACATGCATCCTCTGATATGGTAATTTGCTTGCTAGTATCATGCATTTCAAAACTTAATTCATAATATATACATGGAAAAAATGACCAAACTCAAACATAAAACTGCAAATGAATTTACTTTTTTTTCACTTTTCATTGTGAATTGAGTGAAAGTTTACAGAACAGATGATCAGTTCCACATTCAACAAATCATATACTTTGTGTCATTACAATGATTGCAATCCCTTTCATGTTCCATCCAACAGTTATTAAGTCCCGTTCAGTCAGTTTTGACTTGTGGTGACCCTATACAGGGTTTCGAGTGTTGGTGGATTTGAACCACCAACCTTGAGGTTCAAACTGGCCTTGTGGTTGAGTGCTTAGCCTAAAGCAACATTCCAGGATTCCAGGTTAGCAGTATTTATACCCTATTCACTTTAACTCTTGCACTCCTCCCTGTGTCTTCCACTGCCTTCATCTTTCCTGAGCCAATTTCCCTCTTGTTGTATATTGCTTCCCCCATCATCCAAGTTAACATGTGTCTATCCTCTACTCAAAGAATAATCTTCCTTCCCTCCCACCCCTGGTAACATTCATAGAATGCTTCTTTTAGCAAGAAAACAACAGTAGTCTCATACAATATTTGTCCTTTTATAATTGACTAATTTTACTTAGCATAACGTTCTCAATTTGCAGAATGAAATAAGACCCATATCTCACACTATATACAAAAATGAACTCAATGTGGATTAAAAACCTAATTGTGAAAACATCTCCAAGTTCATCCATGTTATGAGATGTTTCACAGATACATCATTATTCTTCAATGTTATATAGTAGTCCATTGTGTGTCTGTACCAGTTTGTTTAACTGTTCTTCTGCTGATGGGCATTTAAGCTGTCTCCAACGTTTTGCTACTGCTAATAGTGCTACAATGACGATGGCTGTGCATATATTTATTCATGTCATGGCTTTCTTGAGGCCATCGACCAAGTAGAGGGATTGCAGGGTCATATGGTATTTCCAACATTTTGAGGAAGCACCGTACTGTTTTCCACTGCGGTTTCAACATTTTACAGTCCCACCAGTAGTGTAGTAGGATCCCAGTCTCTCCACAGCCTCATCAATATTTATTGTTTTCTGTTTTTAGAACTTTGTTATCAATGCTGGAGTGAGATGGTGTCTCATTGTTTAATTTGCCTCTCTCTAATGCATCTCTTCAAATGTTTGTTGGCTGCCTGAATCTCTTTAATGAAGTGTTTGTTCAGGGCCTCTGCCCATTTTTAAACTGGATTATTTGTTATCTTCTTGTTGAGGTGTAGAAGAGTTCTCTAAATTTTACAGTAGTCCCTTGTCTGACAGGTCATTGCCAAAAAAATGTTTCCAGTCCACGGGTTCTCTTTTTACTCTTTTGGCGAAATCTTTTGATGAACGTTAAATGTCTACTTTTTAGGAGGTCTCAGTCATCTATTTTGTCTTCTGCTGTTCAAGTGTAGTCAGTTATGTTTGACTAGAACCCCTAAGTTTGCCCCTATTTTTTCACTTATGATCTTTACATAGTTCTAGGCTCTGGTAGCGTAGTGGTCACGAATCGGGCTGCGAGCCTTAAGGTCAGCGGTTCAAAACTACCAGCTGTTCTGCGGGAGAAATATGAGGCTTTCTAATCATATATATATATATATATATATATATATAGGCATATAGATATAGACGTATGACACTGTGGAGCAGCACTGGGCTGATAGCTTACTTTAATAATGCAAAATATAGTTCAGGAACTGGCAAAGGTAAGTAGCACTTTCTTCAAGTAAGAAATCTGTGTTGTTGTTGTTGTTAAGTGCCATCGAGTCGGTTCCAACCCACAGCAACCCTGTATAGGGTTTCCAAGGAGCAGCTGGTGAGTTTGAACTGCCGACCCTGAGGTTCAAAAGCTGACTTTGCAGTCCAGTCTCACAGTGCCACACCAAGACTTCATCACTTCATATATATGTACACACATATACATGTATGTATCTACATACACCCATGTTGTTATGAAGTGCTAGCCAGTCAGTTCCGACTCACAGTGACCCTGTATAGGGTTTCCAAGGATCGAGGATGGACTAGTCAGTTTGAACCACTGACCTTGCAGTTCAAACCAACCTTGAAATCCAGTGCCACACCAGAACGCTCTCTCTCTCAGAACTCCATATATATATACATACATATATACATATACATATATAGTCTTGGTGTGGCACTGTGGGTTAATGCACCAGACTGCAAAGCTGTTTGAACTGCAAGGTTGGCGGTTCAAGCTAACCAGCTGCTCCTTGGAAACCCTATACAGGGTCACTATGTATTGGAATTGAATCGACGGCACTTTACATATATATATAAACTATGGAGTCCTGGTGTGGCGTTGTGGGCTAATGTGCCAGACTGCAAAGCCGTTTGAGCTACAAGGTTGGTGGTTCAAGCTTACCAGTTGCTCCTTGGAAACCCTATACAGGGTCACTATGGGTCAGAACCGACTCGATGGCACTTAATAACATATACATATATATATGCACACATACATGCCTATGCATATGAAAATTTTCAAAGAAATATACCCACAAATTGATTTTATAATGCAGTATATCCTAATCATGTCACATTTTGTGGAGACCATAAAAATGACCTATACAACACACATATGTAACATGTCAACAAAACCATTTTAACCAGGAAAAGCATGCCTCTGGATGCGATTCCTACCTAAACACTTGACAGTCCCAATGGCGTGTGCAGAAGCTGCTCGAGGCTTGTTAGTTACCAGGGCAAGTTCTCCAAAATACTGTCCCCGAGAACATCGAGCAATTTCTACTGCACCATTCTCTTCCACTTCTGCTTTACCCTGGCCAGGGAATAAAACAGTAATGATTACTCAGCTTGTAGGAAATGGAAGTCCACCTTAGCCTAACCATAACAAAGAAAGAAAATCTGCTATGCTGTCTGCTCATATTGTGTGGATTTCTATGACTTAAGAATGCTTACCTTCCTTTTCATAGTAATTTTCACCTCTCCAGATTCTACAATGAAGAAAGAATCAGCCAAATCTCCCTATGAGAATGACAATAAAAGCAGAGGATGAAAATACAATTTGGCAGCAACCCAATATAAAAGTTAAAAGCCCATCAAAAACAGGCTGAGTTCCTAACTGAGAGGTTACTATCTATTGACAATTACCTAGTTATGGTTTCCTTTGTGAAATTATTTGAAGTCATACAGTCCCTATCACAGCATTTCTACTAGAATACAACCACCCAACCAAGATGACAACACTGGGAGAAGAAGATCACTCAATTTTCAGTCTGGGTTACCAGCTACACAATTAGCAACTGCATTGCTGCTATGAATCCCAACAGCACCTCTCTGGTAGGCAAGAACGGACCAGCAGATCCTGTAGCCTGAGAAGTGGGTCGATTCTCCCTGGGTAGCTTATCAGTGTTCCCCCATGTCCTATTATAATACATGATGCAAACTAACCTGTCTACTACTCACCAAGGGCAGAAAGCATCCAGACATTTGTACTGCCATTATCAGGGACCAGATCTGAGACTTCAGGCTGCTGACTCCACCGCAAGGTTTCTCATAGACCTTTTGGAGGAGTCTTACAGCATTGCCATTACTAACTACACATGCTTTTCTGAAGTTTTATTTTAATGAAGTCTGCCTTGATTTCTAGTGATGCCCTTCTGCATTAAAAAGTATGAATATAATATAGAGGCTAGACCCAAGCCATGGTATTTTCAATAACCTCATATGCATGCAAAAGCTGGACAGTGAATAAGGAAGACGGTAGAAGAATTGATGCTTTTGAGTTGTGGTGTTGGAGGAGAATATTGAAAGTGCCATGGGCTGCCAAAAGAAACTATTGAGATCCGTTTTGGAAGAAGTGCAGCCAGAGTGCTCCTTGGAGGCTAAGATGGCCAAACTTCGTCTCTCATACTTCAGACACATTGTCAGGAGGGACCAGTCGCTGGAGAAGGATATCATGTTTGGTAAGGTGGAGGGTCAGAGAAAAAGAGGAAGACCCCAACGAGATGGATTGGCCAAATGGCAGCATCAATGGGCTCAAGCATGGCAACAGTGGTGACGTTGGCCCAGGATAGGGCAGTGTTTTGTTCTGCAGTGCATAGGGTCGCTATGAGTCGGTACCAACTCGATGGCACCTAACAACAACAATCACCACACAGGTATTGACTCTTGTCCCTCTCAAACTGATTCTGGAGAAACAGGTATTTTGAAACTCTTTAGTATAATCCAAGAAATTTACTAGGTTGCACCACAAAAATAAATGCTGAGTCTAGAGTCATATAATATAGTTGCAGATATCTATATGTATGAGTGCTTAAAATACAACTAATACCTAAAATTATATTCAACAAGCCCTAAGCCTATAAGTGCTAAGTTATATGCTCTAAACGCACGCATCACTAATAAAATCTAAGGAAGGGCTGTGAGTGGTACCAATGGCAGTTTCCTGGTTTTGATATTATACTAAAGGAAGGAGAGTCATTACCATGGGAGAAAGGCACAGTGTGGGACAAGAACACGTGGCCTCTCTGTGTTATTCTTGAAGCTTCCTGTGAATACGTATCTCAAAATACAAAGCTAAAAATCTCATTTTGAAAGCACTCTACACTTGGTTCTCCTTGGTGACGCAAAAGGTTACGTACTCGGCTGCTAACTAAAAAGTCTGAACCCACCTGAGGGGCTTCAGAAGAAAGGTCTAGTGATTTGCTTCTGAAAACCTGTAAACCTATGGAGCAGAATTCCTCTCTGTTGTAAAAGGGGTTGCCATGAATTGCAATTGACAGAACGGCAACTGGAAAACTTGATTTACCAATTTATATAGTAGGACTTCCTGGTATGGTGCTGTAGGATGGGTGCTAGACTGCAAACCACAAGATTGGTAGTTCAAACCTATCAGCAGCTCCTTGGAAACTCTATAAGGGTCACTATGGGTCAGAACCAACTCGACACTTAACAACAAAAGCAGAACCTAAACCTTGTTTCTTGCCTGCCCTACACTGCATATATGTAAAAACCAAAGACAAGAGAGAGCGTTATGTGTTTATTTGCCGTCTGAAAGAATAATTCTTAGTCTCCCAGACCTTGAACTTTGTTTGGCACGTATGAAAGGAAAAGTCAATAGTTTCTATAGCATCATATAATACTATAAGAACTACAGAATCTGTTTTTTAAATCCGTGTGAATGATTTACTCTAGTTAAAAAAGATACCTATGAAATAAGGTTCCCTTGCCTGCATGCTTCATCTGTGAACTCCAGCAATGTTCACCTATCCTACTTCCTGTAAATCTTCTGATATCTAAATGAGATAGGCAGTATGAGGGGAGTTCAGAAAGCTCATGGAAAAATCTTTTTCTAACTTATTATTATAAATTGGGTGAGAAGACTAGTTTTTCATTAAATAATTCCTACACAAATTCCATTTGATTTTCATTCCAGTTTTGCACGCATTTTTTGAAGCCCATGTACCATTTGATTCAGCTGAGATTTCAGAAAGACATAGGTTAAATAAGATGCTGGCCCATTTAGTGCTCAAAGCCTGGTGGGCTCCTTTCCTGGCTAATGTTATCAAGGAACAACCTCAGGTTTCATGGTGAGGCCCTGTCCATGCTCATTAATCTGGGTTCTCAGTAATCTCATGGAACACTCACTCACCTGTTTCTTCCTCTTAGAAATGACATTGTATATATACACGTGAATTTCACGTCACATACATATATAAAATTATGCCAAAAGCCATTAGATGGTTTCATGAATATTTACTCGTAGTTCATTATATAAGCAAAATATGTAAGTAGCATAATGGCTATAAATCAAACCATTTTTAAGAGGTCACCTGGAAGAAGTGGCATTCAACACTATACACCGATTGCAGAAATACATATGAGAAAATCATCAACGTATAAAAACGTTTTGAATACAAACCCAAATTGAATTACATACCTGAGCGATGATTTGTTCTCCATCGTTGTATACTTTGGTGCCTATTACATCTACCACTTTCAGGCGTTCAGAAACCTACAAAGGAAAAAGGACAATGTTAAATACAAGCAGACTGAAGTATAAGCTTTTACTATTTCAGAGGCTGGACACTGGTAAGGTATCAACCAAACAAGTCCACTAGTGCATGTGTTCATTTTTTAAAAAAGCATTTAAAAATACATTTTTTCAAACAAATATGGATTCCAGTCCTCTTGAAAAAGAGACGACTCAGCCACACTCAGCCCATATTTCCACATGGTAACAGCAGAGGACGGTGAAGAGCAGCTGTTCCTTTAGATGACGTACATTTCTCTACGTTACCAAAGGCCCTTTCTGGCTTGCTTTCCTCTCTGTGTTACCTGCCTAGTTCAGAAGGTATCTGGATTTCCAACCTCAGATCTGTTTATATTTAAAGAGCTATGCTGCTATAGAGGATACACTGCCTAACACGCCTTCTGCAAGGTGGCCACACTTTCAACCAGGCCTAAACTGAAAATCCAATGGAGCTATTAGAAAGGAGAAGTACTGATATTTTGCTATTTGCTGCTTTAGAAGACACTGCATCTACAACATGTATAATATGTCTCCTTTAATTTCTCACAAAAGACTTCAATTATGTGATTGAGGTATCTAGAAAACATCCAGTTTAGCAATGAAATAGGGAAAGTAAAGTTGAATTTGTTGTTGTTGTTAGGTGCCCTCAGGTCGCTACCAACTCATAGCGACTCTATGCACAAAACAATGAAACACTGCCCGATCCTACGCCAACCTCACAATCATTGCTATGCTTGCGTCCATGGCTGCTGCTACTGTACCAAGCCATCTTGTTGGGGGTCGCCCTCTTTTTCCCTAACCCTCCATTTTACCAAGCCTGATGCCCTTCTCCAGGGACTGGTCCCTCCTGATAATATGTCTGAAGTATGAGAGATGAAATCTGACCATCTTGGCCTCCAAGGAGCATTCTGGCTGCATGTCTTCCAGCACAGATCTGTTGGTTATTTTGGCAGCCCATGGCACTTTCAATATTCTCCTTCAACACTGTAATTCAAAAGCATCAATTCTTCTACGGTCTTCCTTATTTACTGTCCAAGTTTCACATGCATATGAGGTTATTGAAAATACCATGGCTTGGGTCAGGTACACCTTAGTCCTCAAACTGACATCTTTACTCTTGAAAAAGTTGAATTACGGGGTAACAAAAACCCACTTTCTCTCATAAGTCTCCATCTTCAGAGATAAAAATCTGATACCTGGTGTCACTGAGAAGACATCCAGACTGAGAAATGGAGATAAGCAAGTGAGCCAGAGGGGATACGTAGGAGGACATTCCAGACAAACAGTAAGTACAGAGGCCCTGATGTAGGCGTGGCCTTGGCATGCCTGAGAAGCAGTACGAAGACTGGTGTCTGGAATAGCATGATGAATGGAGCTGGAGGAAATGAGGTCAGAAGGGGAGGGGCAGAGGACACACTGCAAAGGGTCTTGTAAGGAAGGTCTTAAGCAGAAGAATGGCATGATCTGCCTTGGGTTATAAATTGATTACTCTGGTGGCTTCAATAAGCCGGACAGGAGGTGATGGTGGGGCAATAGGTGGGAAATGGTCAGATTTTGGATATATTCTAAAGACAGAACAGATAGGAGGGCTAACAGATTGGGCGTGGGAGGGGGGAAAGGATGAGTCACTGCTAACTCTAAGGTTTCTGGCCTGAGACACTGGAAGGAAGGAGGGAGTGCCATCCACTAAGCTAGGGAAAGCTGGGTGGGAGTAGACTTGGGATGTGTCTGAGGTGTCCATTAGACATCTGAGGGGAGACGTTAAGTAGCCAGTTGGGTAAATGACTCAGAAGCCAAGGGTGATGCCCATTCAGGAGACATCAGCATTTCGCTCCATGGGACTTAACAAGTTCACCATGGCAGTAAGTGTATACTGAAAAGACAGGAGGACAACACAAAGTCCTGGAACACCAATTTTAAGAGGAAAAGAGAATAAACAAGGATGACTGAGGAGAAAGTAAGAATTCTGTAGGTAACTGCTCCTTATAAAGGAATTTGTTGTTATTGTTATGTGCCTTCGAGTCAGTTCCGACTCATAGTGACCCTGTACAGGGTTTCCAAGGAGCGGCTGGTGGGTTTGAACTGCTGACCTTGTGTCCAGTACATTATCCTGCAGTGCCACATTTACGTGATTTCTTTCAGTAATACAGATCACACAAAAAATTTGCTATATATACCAGATAAAAATCTGTGTGCTTGTAAACAATAAAACAGCTGCAGTTATAGATCATAAAAGAAATACTGAGTTATAAAAAAACATAATTAGTTCTTTCCAAATGAAAATATGGATAGGTTTTTATTCAAAGGAACTTTTCTGTAGAAAAAAAACATTCCTAAGTAAAGTTTCTAAGGCAAATAAAATAAAAGCATGAACATATGCACACTCACCTCCAGAGATTTAAGGAAGGGCAGTGACTCAATAAAGCTTTCATACATTTTTCTCTTTTTGGCATTATTTTTTACAATTATTCTCCTGAAGGTTACCCTGTCCTAAAAGCAGAATATGAAAATACAAAGATAGTTAAATCATGGATTTTACGGGGAAAAATACCTGTTTCAACATAGTCTTTCATTTTTTTTCTTTTTGAGGAACAAATAATAATTGAAGGGTTTGAAATACAACATTAACCTATTGTACTACTGATACAACTATTTTCAGATTTTTATTTCTTCAAACATTAAGTGCAATATTGTTAAGTGCTGGCAAATTGATTCTGACTCATAGCGACCCTGTATAGGATTTCCAAGGAGCTGCTGGTGGATTTGAACCCTCAACTTAGCAGTTAGCTTATGGTTAGCAATCTAGTGCTTATCCTACAATGCCACACCAGGACTCTTAAGTTGTATATTATATAAATACAACATCGAACCATGTAAAATACTTTTTTTTTTTAAAAAAGGACGCAACCTTTTTTTTTTATCCAGATAGATTCAATCTCAATGTATAATCTATAGCCACAAGGAGGCGCTGTTTCACCACTTAAAAGGTTTTCCATGAACTGTCTGATGACCATACAATATATATTTAAAACTAACAAACCCATGGCTATTGAGTCACTTCAGACGCATAGCAGGAGTGAGCCTTAAGAGTCTGAGAGACTATAAATCTTTACAGGAGCAGACCAACTCATCTTTTTCGGGAGGAGGAGCTGGTGGGTTTGAAGTGCTGGCCGTGCACTTAGCAGCCTGACGTTTAACTCGTTGCGCTACAAGGATATATATCATATATAGTCCTGGTGTGGCGCTGTGGGTTAATGCGCCAGACTGCAAAGCCATTTTAACTGCAAGATCGGTGGTTCAAGCTCACCAGCTGCTCTGCGGAAACCCTATACAGGGTCGCTATGGGTTGGAACCAACTCAACGGCACTTCACAACAACAACAACAACATATATATATATATATACAGAACTACACAGAACAAAACATTGCCCGGTCCTGCACTATCCTAACAATTGGTATGTTTTGAGTCCACATTGCTTTCCGGTGTATCAATCCATCTCCTTGGGGGTCAGGTCTTCTTTTTCGCTGACCCTCCCCTTTACCAAGCATGATGTTATTTTCCATGAAGATGGTCTCTCCTGACAACACGTCCAAAGAACGAGAGGTGACACCTTGCCATTCTGAGTTCTGAGGAGTATTGTGCTCCAAAACCATATTTCAAATGCATTGATTCTTCTACCGTCTACTGTATTAACTGCCCAACTTTCACATGCATATGTTGTTGTTGTTATGTGCTGTGGAGTTGGTTCAGATTCATAGCGACCCTGTACAGGGTTTCCGAGGCTATAAATCTTTACGGGAGCAGAAAGACTCATCTTTCTCCTGCGGAACAGCTGGTAGGTTTGAATTGCTGACCCTAAAGTTAGCAGCCCGATTTGTATCCACTATGCTACCAGAGCATATGAGGTGACTGAAAATACCATGACTTGGATCAAATGCACTTTAGTCCTCAAAGTGACATCTTTGCTCTTTAACATTGTAAACAGGTCATCTGCCGCGGATTTGCCTAATGGAATATGTCATTTGATTTCTTGACTATTGCTTCCATGAGCATTGATTTTGGAGCCAAGCAAAATTAAGTCTTTGACAACTTCAATTCTGTCTCCGCTTACTTATCATGATGTTATTTATTGGAGTCCTGGTGTGGTGCCATAGGGTAACCACTCAACCTCAAGATCGGTTTGAACTACAAGGTCGGCATTTCAAACTCACCAGCCTCTCTTAGGAAATCCTGGTTGCTGTGAGACAGAACCGACTCTACAGCACTTAACAACTCAACATTTATTGGGCCACTTGTGAGGATTTTTATTTTCTTTACAGTGAGGTTGAAATCCATACAGGATGCTGTGCTCTTCAATCTTCATCAGTGAGTATTTTAAGTCCTCTCACCTTCCAGCAAGCAAGGTTGTATTAGCAGCATATCACAGGTTGTTAATGAGTCTTCCTCCAATCCTGCTGCCATGTTCTTCTTCACATGGTTCAACTTCTCGGATTACTTGCTCAGCATAAAAATTGAGTAAGTACGGTGAAAAGATAGAACTCTGGCACAGACCTTTCTTGATTTTAGACCATTTAGTACCCCCTTCGTCTTTTCTAATGACTGCCTCTTGGTCCATGTACAGGTTTCTCATGAACACAAATTTTCTTGGGATTTCCATTTTTTGCTATGCTAGCCAGTTTGTTAGGATCCACACAGTTAAATGCTTCTGCATAGGTATAGTTATAATAAAGCACAAATAAACATCTTTCTAGTATTCTCTACTTTCAGCCAAAATCCATTATCCTTAGTTCTGCATCCTCTTGTGAATCTGGCTTGAATTCTGGCAGCTCCCTGGTGATGTATTGCTGCAATCAAATTTAAATGATCTTCAGCAACATTTTACTTGCATGTGATATTAATGATATTGTTCAATGATTTCCACATTTTGTTGGGCCACCTTTCTTTGGGATGGCCATAAATATGGATCTCTTCCAATCAGTTGGCCAGATAGCTGTCTTCCAAATTTTTTGGCATAGATGAGAGAGTGCCTCCAGTGTTGCATTAGTTTGTTGAAAGATTTCCATGAATATTTCACCAACTCCTGGAGCCTTGTTTTCTGCCAGTGCCTACAGTATAGCTTGAACGTCTTCCTTCAGTACCATCGGTTCTTGATTTCATACTACTTCTTGAAATGGCTGAACATTGACCATTTCTTTTTGGTGCCATGTTTCTGTGTATTCCTCCCATCTTCTTTTGATGCTTCTTGCATCATTTGATATTCTGCCCATAGAATCATCCAAAATTATTGCCAAGTCAATATTTTAATGCTCCCTTCAGTTCTTTCAGCTTGAGAAATGCTGAGCAGAATATTCTTCCCTTTTGGTTTTCTACCTTTCGGTCTTTGCACATTTCGTTATAATATATATTTCTTTTCCTGTGCATGGTGGCCCTTGAGGGTTGCACAATCAATTTGATGGGATATCACCTGTATTTTTATAAAAAATACAGTAGAATAAAAAATCTCAATAGTGAATCCCTCATAGTGTTTTGCTATTTATTTTATTTAGACAGGAAGACACACACAAACTGATGTATTGGTCGTGGTATTTTTTATTGTGTTTCTTCATGACAGTTGCAGTGAAAAACACTATTAGAAAATGTCATAGACAATTACAGTGTGAGATTTTGAGAGATGGTTTATGCCAAGTTTTGTGGCAGTGCTCTTTTTAAAGATGTGAACGCCCAAAGACACTACAACCTTTTAAAGTAGGGTCTAATTCTGGTGTTTGGCAGGTTCCTGTTTATGTTTATACTACATGACTTCAAAGGTACAGAACTAGAGAAATTTTAGGGTGTTAACTCAGAGTTTTTCCTATAAATTTTATTTTGAAAAATTTCTCACAAAATATTACCTTAATTCTTAAAAAAGAACTCCATGACTATGTTAGCAGTTGGCATCCACTGTTAATTGTACCATTTTCATTGTGGTGGTTGTGAAGTGTTGTCTAATTGGTTCCAACTCATAGCAGCCGTGTATAGAGTTTCTAAGGAGCGGCTGGTGGGTTTGGACCACCATAATTGTGATTAGCAGTCCAGTGTTTATCCTACAGCACCACACCAGGATCCCACCATTTAAAATAAGATACACTTAATTGTAAAATGCTCATATTTAAGGCTAAACGTAAATGAAAATGCCAGTGTAGAAGTAAGTCCCTAGGAAATTAAACATCCTGTTCTCTAATTTCATTTATTATAATTTGGTACTGGCTGTAATTTGGACTCATATTGTTAATCACTAAAAAAGGAGACAAATTTGCAGAATAACTAACAAAAATATTGAAATCATTTCCAAACCTGGCTACACATTAGAATCAACTACAGTGCTTAAAAAAAAAGAAAGAAAATAAAAGAAAAAAGATGTCTGAGGTCCTAGATTTGAATAACTAAATATCTCTGAATGTAGGAATCCATGAGCTATATTCCATCAAAGCTCCCTGGTTCTGACATATGAACTGGTTTGGAAACCAGTCGTAGCACTATTTTATGAAAGTAGGTTACTGCACAAACAGAGAAGACTAGAAACAGTTTAGCAATTTAGAAATTAACCATCATAAACTCTATGTGTCTGGAAGAATTTCCAATTAGAAGCCTACCCTTCTTATCCACTGTAATAAAGTCCAATTTCAAATGCTCTCATCCCAGTCATTTGAATGGTCATGTACACTAGATAACTCCCTAACACTGACCAGATATTTACAAAGTCAGACTATTTTTCCAAAGGCATTTAGAATTTGTGTATCTTAACCTGCACTTACAAGCCAGAGAGCCAACCTGATGACCTTAACATAATGTTTTTTTTGCCAATTTGAACTTCTCTGAGAAGGGACAAATTAGGCAAACTGCTCTTTAAAAACAGATTTATCGGCAACAAGAAAAGTAATACCCAATTTAAAAACAGGCAAAAGTCTTGAGCAGACACTTCTTCAAAGAAGATAAACAAGTGGCCAACGCGCACATGGAAGGATGCTCTGTCATTACTCATTCAGAATCAATCCGCGAGACTGGGTGAGCAGCATGTAACACCAGTAATGCAACAGTCCTAGGAAATGAGACTGTTAACAACTCCGTATGTAAACTAGCCTTTCTTTTATCCACACAAGGATTTAATAGAAATAACCTAATAAATGTGTGTCAAACCTAAATCAGTTATACCATTTTAATTATATAAATCAGGGCTGCTTTAAGTGTGGTCTGAGCCACAAGCAGCAGTGGCACCGCCTGGGTACTGATGAGAAATGCGATTCTCAGGTTCCACCCCAAACCCACTGAATCAGAATTTGCATTGTAACAAGAATCTCAGGTGAGACGCACTGGGATACAGCACTCCACCACAAGGTCAGTTTAAACCACAAGGTCAGTGGTTCAAACTCAACAGTCGCTCCTTGGAAACCCTATACAGGTTCGCTATAAGTCGGAATCATCTCCACAACACTTAACAACAACAACAACACCTTAAATGGAGTCCTGGTGTGGCACTGTAGGATAAGCACTGGATCGCAAGGTTGGTTTGAACCGCAGGGTTGATGGTTCAAACTCACCAGCCACTCCTCAGAAACCACACACAGGGTCTCTATGAGTTGGAACCAACTCCATGGCACTTAGCAACAACAACAACCTTAAATATAAGGAGCTCTGGAAGCATAATGGGTTACTATTTGGGCTGCTAACAGCAAAGTCAGCAGTTTGAGTCTGTCAGCCGTTCTGAGGGAAAAAGATGAGGCTGTCTGCTCCCTTGAAGATATACAAGGGCATTATATAAAGATATACAAGGTCATTTTTAGAAGATATACAAGGTTGTTATATCAAGATATACAATGTCGTTTTTAGCAGATATACAAGGTCGTTATGAGCCGGAATTGACCATGTGGCACACAACCACCACCACCTTAATGCAGCCTTCCAGAATCAGCTTTATAAGTGCCTGCTGCTCTACATCCTGATATTATCCATGAAAGGAATCTCATTCTCTCCCCAAATGTGTCTTTAGACCAACATTAGGTCTGGTGGAAATATCACCATTAAGAAATTTATTTTAAAGTTGTCCAGGCCCCACTCCCAGGAGTTCCAATTCAACTGGTCTCTCACGTGAGGCCTAGGAAAGAGGTAGTTCCAGTGTATAGCAGGCCGAGCAACACAGACAGGAAGCAGTTTTTCTCTATGAAGCTGCTTTTTTTATTTTAAATGTTTTATTGTGAATTATGTGACAGTTTACATGGGAGAACATTAGCTTTACATCGTATCATATATTGTTTCATTGCCATGGTTACAATCCCCTCCATGTATTAGCAACCAACTAAAGGGTATACCCTGCAAGCCTGCCCCCTGGTCATCAGCACACAGCCCCTCTCCCTCTCTGGGTCTGGAGTCCCCACCTCTCCATCTCTCCACGTCATCATCTCTGTCTCCATCTCTGGCATCACTGTTTCTCTAGGTAAGGTCCCACACTCCGCTCTTCTCCCTTGATGGTCCCAGGGACCTCCACTCCTGGACTGCAAAGTCAATCACTTCCCTCCTTTTGCTACAAAATTTCTACCTTTACATTTTCAACCCTCACAGTCAGTCCTGATAACAATTATTCACCATTGTACCACAAAAGACCTATCCCCATCGCCTTTGATCAGTCCCGCCCAGACAGATTGGATACCACTCAGTGGAGATTCTACCTTCCTCTGTGACCTCTGGATCTAGGCTCCCTTTTGAAAGCTTGTAAGCCAGTCACTTCTTGCCTTTGTTGTTATTGTTAAGTGCCGTCAAGTCAATTCCGACCCACAGCAACCCTGTATAGGGTTTCCAAGGAGAAGCTGGTGAACTTGAACCACCAACCTTCAGTTCAAATGACTTTGCAGTCTGACGCATTAGCCCATAGCGCCACACCCTGACTTTCCCATTTTGGGTGGCCAATGTCCAAGTTGCCCATCTCTGTCTACTCTGTGGGAATGATCCTCGCTGTAGATTTGTTCCCTCTTTTGAGCTACTGAATCCATAGGTGTAGGTGAAGTTCATCAAATTGTATCAGATTACTCTTTTTTCCTCTTCTTTCTTCCTCTAGTTGAGCTCTGATCATCTAGTCAATGTAGCCAGGTCAAGTGGGCATTATCTGCAAGTGTGGGTGTTCCTGTGCATATGCCCTCTCTTCTTATCAGCTGGACGCTTCACTCTCCACTCCAGTCCTCTGTGGCTATGTCACTGACTGGGCCCAAGAGTCCCCAGTCTTGCCAAACTGCTAGCCAACCAGGTTTCCACCCGAGTTCACAGGAGTCTATTAAACATTGTAGGGCTTAACTCACAGCTTCATTGCTGTTTATCCCTCAGTTCCCTTTATCGGTGACAAACGTGGTCACTAATCAGAGGCATGTCTGCTTGTGTATTCCCATTGAGTTTTAGTCTTGGAAGGGGGTCTACGAAGCTGCTTTTAAATGCTAAGTTGTTACTAATCATCAGTATCACCCGGAGAATCTGTCCATGGTGTTTTCTCACACTCTAGCATGCACCAGAATCACAGGGAGGGCTTGCTCAGACACAGAATGTTGGAGCCCCATCTCCATGGGGTACAGGCTCCAGAATCTGCATTTCTAACAAGCTCCAAGGAGACACCGCTGCTACTAAGGAAGAACATTTTGGGTTTGAGTGTCTCTCAGAACCCGCAGGTCTAAACTCCTGACTTGACTGGATGCATGGAGAAGGGCACAAAGACTGAATTCAGCACAATGTTGGTGCCCAATAAGTCAGCGTCCATATACTGCTAATACATGCTCACGAAGTGATGATCCCAAATAAACTTACCCATGAGGTTAAAATACTCTATTAACCTAGCTATTGACAAAAGGGACTCCTGGTATGGTGTTGTAGGATCAGCTCCAGACTGGGAACTGCAAGGTTGGCAGTTCAAACCCTATACAGGGTAGCTATGAGTCAGAACCAACTCAACAGCACTTAACAACAACAACACTGACATAATGATTTTCACAATTGATAGCACTCAAGTCAAATACATTTTTCACTTACCAAACCCCACAGAGCACCAGGAGAGGTAGCGGTGATTGTAGCTGCTCTGGGTGTGTTATACATTAAGGCCAGTTCGCCAAAGCTTCCACGATTATCGTAGTTACCAACGCATCTTCCAACACCATCACACTTGACATAAATATCAAATGTTCCTCTGTGAAGCATATGTAAATCAAAGGTCAAAGTAATTCATGGAAAATCCCATTACAGCAACACATTTCTCAGGGCATGTCCTCTGTAATGAAGGCTGACTTCCTGCCTTCCTTTTCCTACAGAAAACAGCAATTCATACTAGGGTACCATCGTGTGCCTGAGGCCCCATCTGTGCCAGATAAGCATGAAGAAACCACCAGGTAGACTAGGGGAAGGGCCATACGGGCTTTTGTTACGGAAAACAAGATGAAACAATACACATGTAAGAGAATTGATAAGACTATAAGGAAGAATAACAGCCAAATCGTACATGCACAGGCAACCACTGACACGTATCAAACCACTGACAGACGCTATCTCTGAGGGGAAGGGCAGTGAGGGGCAACCACTAACTTAAAGAGGGTGTGTTTCTAAAACGAACAGTATGACTTCTGTGATCAGAAGAAAATGACTTATCATAACATATTGGCTTCCTGGCCCTTTCCACAAAACATCTGCCAACCCCTGATCTAATGTGGAATGTGGTAGGAATTCAGACTAAATATCTGAACATGGACTTTTTATAGTTTCTATGTGCTTTTAATTAGAATCTCTCCCTGCCCTCCTGCTTCCCTGGAAAGTAAAACTCAGTTTGCATATCTCTGCATAACATATTATCCAGACCCTAAGGAGTCCTGGTGTGGCGCTGTGGGTTAATGAGCCAGACTACAAAGCCGTTTGAACTGCAGGGCCGGTGGTTAAAGCTCACCAGTTAGTTGTTCCCTGAAAACCCTATACAGGGTGGTTATGGGTCAGAACCAACTCGACGGCACTTAACAACAACAACAACGATATATTTATATAAAGGAGCTCTGGTAGTGTAGTGGTTACGAATCGGGCTGTGAACCTTCAGGTCAGCAGTTCGAAACTACCAGCTCGTTCTGCAGTAGAAAGATGAGGCTTTCTGCTCCCCGTAAAGACTTACAGCCTCGGAAACCCTGTACAGGGTCGCTATGAGTCGGAACTGACTCCACGGCACATCACCATCACCACATTGATATAAACAACATTCTTCATGTGGCCTTTCCACAGACTGTATTTTAACATAATTTCAAGGAGGGTGGAAGCACCTGCGAGAGCAGACAGGAACTTATTTGGCTTTATTCTATAGATGAACCCTGGCAGGCAGGAGTCCTGGTGTGGCGCTGTAGCATAAGCACTGGATTGCTAACCACAAAGTCAGCAAATCAAACCCACCAGCCACTCCTTGGAAAGCCCCTACAGGGTTGCTATGTGTTAGAACTGACTCAGTGGCACTTAACAGCAACAACACAGAGCTAACAAAGACAAAACATTTTTTAAAAGCAATGTTGGCTACAAAGGAGTAGCTTTTAAGACTGGAGAAGAATTAAAGTAATAGCAACAAAACAATCAGAACAAACGCATAAGAGACAAAAGGTATTCTGAATAAAAGAGAAATTTTTTTTCAACTGTTGACAAACTGTTCTATTTGAGGACTTTTGCACTAAAACTATTTACTAAGTTTACTATTTTGAATAGGATAAAATGTGTAATAATTGTGCCAGTGAAAGTTAATGTAAGTTACCAGTCCAGATGAAATCGCATCAGTGTAAAATCTGTTAAGACACCGTGTGCTGCTTGTCCACACAGCTCTCTTTCCTGAGAGATGTGAGACCTCAGGCAGTGTGGAGCTATGGGAAGAGTCAAAGCAATGGCCAGGAGACCTGTTTATAGGGCCAGTTCTACACTGACTGGGTGACTTTAATTGAGTCATGCCACTTTTGTGTTCCTCAGACTTTTCATCTATCAAATGGGTGACTCATTTGTCAAATTAGATCAAACTGAAAAGTAGATGTACTATATACATATGTAAGGCAGTTTATACTTTTATTTAATATAATGTATGTACTAAAAGATGAATACTGAATGTTACCTGGGGCTCTCCTGTACCCTACCCCTACAATTCAATCAAAATGAACTGATGAATGAATTTTTGATGTTTCATTGATCTTGTTCGTAAATCCTGTTGAGTTGATTCCAATTCATTATGACCCTGTAAAGTTTTTCCAAGGAGTGGCTGGTGGATTTGAACTGTCAATCTAGTGGTTAGCAGTTCAGTGCTGATCCTATAGTGCTATATCCATTGATAAAAGCTGTTAATAATATTATTAACTGGAGTATATGGTTTTGTTCTTTCCAAAATCAGAAAACATCTCAGCCCTGACAAGAGTCTTCAAAATAGGTCTGTAGGTCACCAAGGCAGGAAGGAGGGAATGGAAGAAATCGGGGAAAAACCTTCATTACTCCAGCAAAAAACAATTCAAAGAGCTTGTGTGTGAAAGTTACCACCCACAAATCAAAGATCAAAACAAGGCCTTAGGAGACAGAAGGGGCGAAGTTTTTGGTCAGACCACTGAGTAGAGCACAACTCTATCCAGGGCAGTACACATAATTCAATCAATCCGACTTGGAGATTATCTGTAGTCCACACAAAATGGGAATAGCTGATAATACCAATTGTCTGTAAGCAATTCATTATCATTTTTATCAAAGTGAAAAAAATACTGACTTTCTGAAACGGCTCCCTTATTCCATTTTAGGTCTCATTTAATTATTGCCTACGGCATACTGCTCTATGATGAGATAAATAAAACACAATGTGATTTCTCTGGAATCCTATTTTCAATATAAATAAAGCAATTTCTCAATAAAATATTTTAAAAACAAACATAATAATGCATAAACAGTCTCTGGAAGGACACACCAACTGCTCATTCCAATGACTGCACAGTAAAAGCAGTAGGAAGAGACATACTTTTCACTTTAAAGCCTTCTGAAATATTTGAATTTTTTAAACCATGAGCATGTTTGACTTTTACAATGAACAATAATCTGAAAAATCTTTTTGAAAACATCATAACACAGGCTGAATGATACTGTGATTCAAATCATATCCTAGAGTCTCTATTACACTTCTATTTTGTACTGGACTAAGAATCTACGAACTACTAAAAGTGTTAAAGCTAACTACCTCTCAAACAGAAGTTAGCAAATGAGGAGGGGCTAACAGCAAACATGCCTACAATAAACTGAGCAAAAATAACCACGGTCTCTCTCCTCGATGTGGTGTGGTTTCATTGCACACATCTGCAGGTTTATAGTGTCTGTGTGGCGCGATGGGCTAATGCGTCAGACTGCAAAGCCGTTTGAACTTCAAGGGAGGTGGTACAAGCTCACCAGCTGCTCCTAGGAAATTCTATACAGGGTCGCTATGGGTCAGAATTAACTTGACAGCACTTCACAACAACAACATAGCAACAAAAGTAAACGGCAAAAAAACTAAACCCAAACTCAAATCCTCCGCCATGGATAGGATTTCACAGACTAAATCTTTATGTAAGCAGCCTCATCTTTCTCCCAAGGCGGCGGCTGAGGGGTTTTAATTGCTAACTTTTCAGTTAGCAACCCAAAGGCTTAACCCACAGTGCCACCAGGACTCCTTCAAGAGGAAATCGCAACTATCATTTATTAATTTTCCACAAACCCTAATAAACATTTACATTTTACACAGAAGTCCTCTGCATCTCAGTAGAATGGTTCTGTAGGACTTACCTATCAATGACATAAAAGTTGTCACCGTCGTCACCTTGATCAATTACATGCTCCCCTTCTTTGACCAATTTTTCAAACATGGCATCTAATACTTGAGACATCTGCTCCTATTGTTAAGAAGGAAAATAAACTCTTTATGCTTTATCTAGACCATGTTTTCTTTATATTCTGTAAAGAAAATCAAAGGCACAGAAGTGTCATCACCATTAAGTGGAGCCAGAAAAAATACACAGCGCAGGTCTCGTTACCACATAAAAACGAGGTGATAATATATTTACTCTCACATTCAGCATTTGAATGAAAGTAATTATAATTAATCTATTTTAGATATTGGCGTCACCACTTTGTTGTTGTTAGGTGTGGTCGAGTTGGTTCCAACTCACAGCAATCCTGTATAGGGTTTCCGAGGAGCAGCTGGTGGGTTTGAACTGCTGACTACCATATACCTTATTAAATACAATCTTTGAAATGAAAATGACCAAATTACTAAAGAAATACTATTTAAATTTTCTTTTAAAGACATGCATTCCATTTGGTACATGTTGCCTACATTAGCCATCACTAGAGTTTATGTAGAGATCACCTAAATACTTGCTGAGTTCAGATCCTAACTGGGTGTGTGTGGGGGTGGAGGGGAAACTTAGGGTCCTAAGTTTCCCCTCCAGAGAAATAACAAAAGAAATAACAAAACAGAGAAATAACAAAAGCGAAACTATTGTGGAAATTTTCTGTCAATAAGTTTCCTTCAAGAAGCAATCATTAAATAATGATATATGCACAACCTGGGAACAACAGGGTTCTGGGATACAGAGATCGAGCCATGGTTGGAATGTGGAAAAGG